GAAAGCAGAGCAGGATTTGGTGTGGGCCTGGGGGAGATGGTGAAACAGAGAGGTGCTTCAGCTCCAGGTGCTCTTGGAGACAGTGCTTCAAAGGCTCCATCAGGAACCCCGTCTCTTTAACAAGGATCTGGAGGCTTTGTCCTATCAGGAGGGCACAGCAGTTACGGCTAAGGGGCAAAGCCATGAAGTGGACAGGAGCTCCAACACCTAGTCCAGCTGCATCTTCAGCCTGATGGGTAGGGGTATTGTCAGCGGTGGGCTTGGGACTGGCATCTTGAAGTTTGATGCTGCGCTTGACATACTTTGAACTGAACAAGTACGTTTATCACTTCGGTTCTTCAGCACAACTTCGAGTTGAATAAGTGTCACAAGACTCTGAACAGTGTCTGCTCAGCAATGAGTTTGAAGATGTCGTGAATTCCAAAGCTAATTTTGGAATTTAGGGAGAAATCTCAAAGTTTTTTAGGATAGTAGAAAGAAGTCTGGGGGTTTTACTCTGTTCAGAAAAGAAGTATAGGTCATTTATAGAAGTAGAGCTCACAATATGCAGTCTATACTCCAGAACTTCCAAACTACCATGGGAAATATAAAATTAAACAACCTTACCCTGGCCAATGTGGCTCAGTTAGTTGAGCGTTGTCCCATGTACCAAAAAGTCGCTGGTTCAATTCCCGGTCAGGGCACACACCCGGGTTTTGGGCTTGATCCCCAGGAGGGAGCATGCAGAAGGGAGCCCATCTGTTTCTCTCTCAGATCCATATTTTTTTCTCTCTCCCTCTCCCTTCCTTTCTCTAAAATCAATAAAAACATTTTTTAAAGTCATCAACCTTTTTTGTTCATTATATTCCACAAATAAGCTGATGAATAAAATAGACCCAGCAACACAGAAAGGAGTATGGTTCAGACTGACAAACTTCAGAGGAGGGGGGCAGGAAGGAGAGATGAGATGAACCAAAGAACTTACATGCATGTGTGCATAACCAATGGACATAGACAACAGTGCTTGGGGCGGGGGGGGGGTGCAGGAGAGAAAGGAGGGTGTCTGGGGGGAAAGGAGAAACATTCGTAACAAAAATAAATTAATTAATAATAAATATTCCTGGCCAGTTTGGCTCAGCAGTTAGAGTGTCAGCCCGCAGACCAGCGAGTCCCGGGTTCAGTTCCCACTAAGGGCAAGTACCTCGGTTGCAGTTTGTCCCCAGCCCCGGCTGCGGTCCTGTGGGTGGCAACCACTTGATGTGTCTCTCTCATATCAATGTCTCTCTCTCTCTCTCTTCCTCCTCCTCTCCCTCCCTCTCTATCTCAAGATAAATGAAAAAAAAAAATATCCTCAGGTGAGGATAAAATAATAATAATAATAATAAATAAATTCAACATCGTTAGGGAGTGTTCTTCCTGCCCCTCCACCAGACAGTCAGGCCTCCATTCCAGCCTGTTTTCCTCCCTCACTATTACATCTCCTTTTACTCAGAGATCTAGAGGTATGTCTGTGCAAGAGGTAACTTCCCCCAAATGTTCCAGCCATCCCACATCCTACAAGTGGGCTCCATATCCTACAGGCACGGTCCTGAACCTTCTCCCTCATAACTGCCAGCTTCTTCCTGTTCTTGCCAAGGTCAGTGCCTTCCACCCTTCTGAACTCCATTAGACTACCCCTCTTTCTTTCCTCTTAGGCCCCTTGTTGAGTAGAAAATAAAAAATAATAAAAAGGAAACTGGGTAAGGAAATAATATCCTGTCCCAATATCTGTGTCTGTCTGCAGAGCAGTCTGTGGGTAAGAGAGACACTCGGGTTCCCAGAGAACAGGTGGTTGGAGCTTCCTGCCCTAAGTCAATCTCTTTCCTGGAACCTTATCTCCTAGCAAACACACACAAATCAAAAGCTTGAAGTGCACCTCAGGGGTGATTATCGTCAGTTACCTCGATTGACCACCAGAGAGAGATAGAGAGCAAGGTTTGCTACTGTATCAGCACCATGCACCACCCAGCCTCCTGTTTCAGTAAATCACATTTAATGGACCTAAAGTGTTCTTACATATTAGTCAAACTTAAATCTCTTTCAGTGCAATTTAATCACTTTTTTAAATATTTTTATTGACTTTTTTAGAGAGAGAGATAGAAACATCGAAGTGAGAGAGAAACTTCAATTGGCTGCACGCCCCCTGCTGGGGATGGAGCCCACAACCCAGGCATGTGCCGGGATCGGGAATCAAACCGAACCAGGACCTCTCAGTCCCTGGGACAACGCTTAATCCACTGAGCCACACCCACCGGCCCGGCTCTTCCAGAGCAATTTAAAATATGCCCCAGATTTCCCAGAATATAAACCAGCGGGACTCTAAGGATATGGAGCTTGTAGACCTAAAGGGATTCTGTGGACCTTCCTTAAGGCTATGGGCGTGGGGAGCGTGTTACAAAAAGACCCGTAACCTGGATGGGAGGGAGAGCAGCCCAGGGGCAAGCCTGACATGGGTACTTTTATTCCAAGAGCACAAGACCTTTAGCCTGGTTGACCCCACAAGCCCGAAATTTTTTTCTCTCTGCTGTGAGCCCTCAAAGCCTCCTGCTTGGCCCTGGCCAGTTTGGCACAGCAGGTAGAGCATAGGCCCACAGACCAGAGAGTCGAGGGCTCGATTCCAGTCAAGGGCACATGCCTTGGTTGTGGGTTCGATCCCCAGCGCCAGTCAGGGTCATGCGGGAGGCAACCAATCAATGTGTCTCTCTCACATCGATGTTTCTCTCTCTCTCTCTCTTCCTCCCACTCTATATGAAGATAAATGAAAAAATATCCTTGGGAACACCATTTGGCAATTTGAGGGATGGTTCAATGTGTCAGAGGTGGGGTGGGGACGGGTCAAGGAGAATGAGGACAGACCTGGTAGAGTTCAGAGTGAATGAGAGCAAGAGATATAAAAGGGGTCCATCTCAAAGAGAGCAGATTCATGTGTGGCTTCTTGAAACCACTGTTCTCTAGGGCTTTGGAAGACGAGCTAGACTGGAAACCTTGGCCTGCGGCCAGCGGGAGGAGAGTGGGCACCAGGAAAAAACTCCCAAAAGTCTGACTGAGGCTATGGTGGGCTGGTGAGAGGGTTGGGAGTGGGGCTGTCTACTCTGCAACTATGGGATGGGAGACTGCACAGCCCAGGACTATATACATCAGTGTACTGATTAAGAGATACAGCCCTGACCGGTGTGGCTCACTCAGTTGGTTGATTGTCACCCCATGCACTGAGAGGTCATTGGTTCAATTCCCGGTCAGGGCTATATCCCCAGTAGGAGGCGTGCAGGAGGCAGCCAACTGATGTATCTCTTTCTCATCGATGTTTTTCTCTTTGCCTCTCCCTTCCTCTCTATCTAAAGTCAATAAAAACATTTTTTATAGAGAGAGATACAGAGAGGAAGAGGCAGAACTCCAGGAAAACATAGAGATGGAAAGGATATTACACGTACAACACATTTCTGCATACATGTGCACGTGTGAAAGGGACCAAATGTCGAATGACAACCTTCCACATGTCCAAACTCCCACCGCTGTCTCTCCTAAGGGGGAGGAATGTTCTGTTAAGGTAATGGTTAGGGTTACGGAAGGAGAAAGTATGAGACAGCTGCACAAGAAGGGCCTGGGCGGATGGGAAGCGAGGGGAGCAAAAAGATAGGGGGCAGGGACAGAGACCCAGCAGAGGCAAGGCCTTGTTTTGTTTTAAGATAAGGAGATGAGCCCTGGCGGGTTTGGCTCAGCGGTTAGAGCATCTGCCTGTGGTCCAGAGAGACCCGGGTTCGGTTCCTGCTAAGGGCATGTACCTCGGTTGCAGTTTGTCCCCAACCCTGGTTGGTCGTGCAGGTGGCAGCCACTCGATGTGTCCCTTTCACATCGATGTTTCCCTCTCTCTCTCTTCCTCTCTCTCCCTCCCACTCTGTCTGTACAAAAAATGAAAAAATGTCCTCGGATGAGGATTAAAAAAAAAAAAAAGATAAGGAGATGAGAGATTTGGGAGGAGCTGCCATAATGAATGAGATTTTGGGACAGAGGTGGAATAATTAAGTTTTTAGGGACTTTTATTGAGTGTGATGTGGTCTAATCTCCCCATTCTCCACCATCCCCTCAGGAAAAGCTCTAGTAAAAACTTAACTTACTCTTCATGGCTTTCAAGGTTGCATGTTCTTTTTGATGAGTGATACTGAAGAGATCCTCCAGGGGAGAGTGGGAATGCTCAGTTGTATTCAGGTTACACATGCGTGTATACATGGACACATAGCCCAACACTCTAGGAGCCTGACCTGTAAATGAATTTCATCTAGACACCTCACCATCTGTGCAAATTCCCTTAAAGTAAGAGTGGGACCTGAGTGACCTATGGTGCGACATTTAAATTCCCATGACAGACATGCATTTTGGGTTTTCTACTAACTCCATATGCCTGTGTGTGTGTGTGTGTGTGTGTGTGTGTGTGTGACAAACATATACTTCTAGCAGTGCCATAGATATGTGTATACAGCTAAAACAAATGGAGTTAGGTAACAATGTGCAGGCTGACTAGCAGGAAGATGGAGGGCCACTTTTCAACTGCGCCACTTTATGCTGGAATCTGCAAACACACAGGATTTCTTATCCACTTAGCACACCCCTAAAGGTCTCATCATAAAGCCTAGATGCTTCCTGATGATCACGATGATAACAGAACAGAGATGCAGTCTCTGATCTCACACACACACACACCAACTTCCACTGTCTCTCCCAAAGGTGCCTTCTTTCCTCTCCTCTTGGTCCATAATGCCAACCTTCAGTTACCACCTCTCTCGTGGCTTTGGCTCCCCCAACCCACGCTGGCACCTGCCTGGCAGCTCCCCGCCCCCTCAGTCCTCAGAAGGCCAGGGCCTGGGGCCGAGAACATGTGGAACAGGTTGATGCTGTTCTCCCGGAAGTGGAGTGGGAGATGGGTGGGGTCACTGGGGCAGGCGGGGTCCCTGGAAGCCTACCTACATCCTTACCTCCACAGAAGCATAAAGCAGCAGCCTGTCCTGGTGAGGGATAGTCACGCTCGCAACCTACAGACCAAGTGAGCCCGGGGCCCTCAGCCCAGCCCCAGTTGCCGGACAGGACCTAGCACCTCTCCCTGGTAAGAGCGCAATGACAGTGGAGAAGGCAGGGGGTGATCTAGGGGTGAAGAAGAACATGGGTGGGACAAGAAGGGCCTAGGAGTCCCCAGGAGCCCAATAGGGTAGGTATCCTGATTAGCCTTGGGGAGCAAAGGGAGAGGTGGCCCCGTGAGCACCTCTCTGGTGAGGAGACTGCAGTCATCCGAGCCCCTCCCAGGTGAGTCTGGCTCCCCAGGAGTTTGTCCTGTCCCGTCTTGGCCCTCCTAGGAATGAGGCGAGCTCGTGTGGCTGGCAGAATGGCCCATACATCTGTGACCATGCCTCCTGCTTCTCTGATTCTCTGAGGTGCCTACAGGAGAGGTGAGGGAGTTTCAGGCCAGCTGGAATACCCTCTCTCACCCATGGGGATACTCTGGCTCTGCCAGCTGACTGCCCAGCCAGAGCACCTGGACTTGAACCTCAAAGACAGAGACCCAGGAGTGTGAACCTCAGGCTCTTGCAGGCCCCACATTCTCCAGGGCCCTCTCACCTCAGCCCATGTCTCCCAGGGCCACATTCATGCATTTGTTTATTCATTCTTTCCTCACACATTTGCCAAGCTCCAAGTCTGCACCAGGCACTGTGCCTGGTGCTGATGCTGCGAAGATGACTAAGAGCCATTTCCTTCCCTCCGGGAGGTCACAGTAGAGTAGGTGAGAGAGTCAGGTGGACAGATCATAACAACATGCGGTTGCAGGTGTTTCAGAAGGGCACCTGCTTTGGGAACACAGGGTAGAGTCATTAGCTGCCTGAAGGGTTGAGGGAAGAGATCACAGAGGAGATGACCTGAATTGAGTCTTAAAAGATGAATAGAGATTCTTTAGATTGGAAGGGAGGTGTGGTAGGCAGGCGGGGAAGAAAGGCAAAGAGCAGTGAAATGTCTGGATCCCCTAGGCAGGACCTGGACAGCAGTGGGTCCACGCACACCCAGGAGCCAGGGGGAGGGTACAAGGGATGTAAGGATACAGGGAAGTGACCCCAACCCCAAAAAACAGGGCAACTGCCTCTCCAGGCTCTTGCCCCAGTGGTGGCTGCCTCTGTCTCCTGGCGTCTGTCCGTGGGTCCCAGCTGTCACAGTTCTCTGGGAAGACGAGGCAGGCATAGCTGTGTGAGAGGAGCTTTCCTCCATCACTGATGGAACGCCCCGGCCAGGCTGCAGGTCCGTGAAGAAGACGCGTGCGGAATGAGAGAAGAGCCTTTGAGAAAGAGAGCTGAGCCCTGGCCAGTTTGGCTCAGCGGTTAGAGCGTCGGCCTGCGGTCCGGAGAGACCCGGGTTCGGTTCCCGCTAAGGGCACGTACTTCGGTTGCAGTTTGTCCCCGGCCCTGGTTGGTCGTGCGGGTGGCAGCCACTCGATGTGTCCCTTCACGTCGATGTTTCTCTCTCTCTCCCTTCCTCTCTCTCCCTCCCACTCTATCTGTACAAAAAATGGAAAAATGTCCTCGGGTGAGGATAAAAAAAAAAAAAGAATAAACGGAGAAAGAGAGCTGAGCTGGCTTCTCTAACCAGCCTTGTGGCTTTGGGCAAGTCTTCTCAGCTCTCGAGGCCTCATTTCCTCATCATAAAATGATGAATCCTTTGTTTCCTTTCAACTCAGATATTCCAAGCAGCCGGGCCTCCTAAGGGTGATCGCTCTCTCTGCAGGGCCATTCCACGTCTTGGTCTCCCAACTTGTCAGTCTTCTGTCTCCCTTCCCCCACAGAGACAATGACTATGTTTGAAAATGTCACTCGGTCCCTGACCAGACAGCTAAACCCCCGAGGGGACCTGACACCCCTTGACAGCCTCATAGACTTCAAGCGCTTCCACCCCTTCTGCCTGGTGCTGAGGAAGAGGAAGAGCACGCTCTTTTGGGGTGCCCGGTATGTGCGCACTGACTACACCCTCCTGGATGTGCTGGAACCTGGCAGCTCACCTTCAGGTCAGCCATGGGCATGGGGTTGGGTACGGAGGGATGGGGCTCAGGCATTAGCTTATGAGGAGAACCCAGAAGCTCCCTGTGCCCAGGTGTGGTTAGGTGTCATCTAGCCCGGAGTTCTCACAGGAGGGGGGTAAAAACCGATGGATGCCTCTCAGCCCAGGCCCTTTCGTCTTCTCCCTCCTGCAGATCCAACAGATTCTGGGAACTTTGCCTTTAAGAACATGCTGGATGCCCGAGTGGAGGGACAGGTGGATGTGCCGAAGACAGTCAAGGTGACAGGGACTGCAGGGCTGTCTCGAAGCAGCACTCTGGAGGTGCAGACACTCAGTGTGGCTCCCAAGGCCCTGGAGACCTTGCAGAAGGAGAGGTGAGAGTCGCAGGGCTGGGGGTCTACCAGTAGGGGGCAGGGTGTTGCCTGGAAAGGGTGCCTTGGTCACAGAGTCAAAGGTTACCACAGGAGAACTCTTGACAATGACGCTTCTGGCCTATGGGTGCCTCCAGACCATCTTCTAACCACTTCCCCTGTCCCTCCACTATTTCTGGTAACATCTGCCCACCAATCACACACATGGAAGCATGAGTGTGTTCACATGGACTTGCTCGGTGACCTTGGAAAAGTCGCTTCTCCTCTCAGGACCTCAGTATAGTTTCCTGAAAAATAATGAGGTTGGAGGAAAATCTCAAGGGTTCCTACCCTAAGACTCTATGAAACTCACTATCAAGGAACAGGGTCTTAACTGCTCCCACTACAGCTTGAGCACAGCATTCTGCTCCCATAAATGACCTCAAGCCTGGCCCCATATACACCTGAGGCAGCCTTGGGATTGCTGCCCCAGCAGCACAAGGGGTGTGGCAGATGCCATGCCGATGTTGGGCACCTCAGATGTTTGGTTTGACAGGGGAACTGACTTTTAAGTAGTTAAGTAGTGGTTGAGAGAAGCAGGTGAGGGCTGGGTGGGGGGTGGGGGGTGGGAAAGACAAACTGGGGTATCTGGGAAGTCACCTAGTAAAATTTATATAGCTTCACTGAGTGCAAAGCACCCTACTAAGTGCTGGGGAACACTACAACATCTTGATCCAAGAACCATGAGAGCTAGGAGTGTGGGAAAAGTATACAACAGTAACTAGAATCCAAGGCAGGTGTGGTGAGTGCCATGGGAGGGGTTTGTCTGAGTTTTGTGGCAGGTCAGGGGCACTTCTGGCTGAGGAGGTGAGGACAGACTTCACAGAGGAGCAGCCCATGATGTAGGTCATGAAAGATGAGTAGATATTGGACATCCAGGGCTGGGGAAAGAGCATTACTAAGGCACATGGATGAGAAATCTCAAAACCTACAGGGACCATGAATACCATTTGGCAGGAGCAGAAGAGGCGTGAGGGGAACAGTGGGAGATGTAGGGTGGGCCCGGGTCATGCGGGAACCAGGTGCCTCCTCAAGGAGATGCAACTATTCCGTAGGCCCCAGAGGAACCCTGACGGTGCTCTGGTGTATGTCCTGGGTAGTCTGGCCAGATGGAGGAAGCATGTCAGAGCACAAGGCTCAGGGGTTTGAAGTAGGCAGACTGTCCCACTGTCCGTCAGAGATGTAAAATGAGGACTTGAGCTGGGAAAAGCAGTCAGGAGGCAGGAATGGATGCTTCTGGGGCAGCAGAATGGGCTGGACCTGGAGCTGACTATAGGGTAAGGAAGTGGGTGTTGTCAAAGGTGACTCTATTAGAGATCGAATGTGTGTTAGTAATTCTATGTTATATCCTGAAAATGTGCTAAGGGTAGATTGCAGGTACTTTCACCACACACACAAACGGGAGCTGTGAGGTGGATATGTTCGCTAGCTTGACTGTAGTAACCATTGCTCTATGTCTATCTAATCAAAACACGCTGCGCACCTTAAATATATGTAATTTTTATTAAAATAAATAAACATATAAGAATAATAAAAACAGGATGACTTTGATACTTGACCCATGTGATGACATTAATAAAAACAGAAAGACCGAGTTTAGAAGCATATTTGGAGAGAAAGACTGTGAGTTCCTTTTGGATGTTTTGAGTTTGTATCTCCACTGAGACAACAGGGGAGAGTGTCCAGTAGGTACCTGGGGTGACGATAGTTAACCACACTGTACTCTATAATTGCTAGCTGCTAGGAGAGTAGATCCTAAATGCTCTCACAACAAGAAAAACAATATTGGTAACTATGTGTGGTGATGAATGTTAATTAAACTCGTTGTGGTAATCACTTCTCTCTCTCTCTCTCTCTATATATATATATATATAAGCATTATGTTGTATGCCTAAAACTAGTACAATGTGATATGTCAGTGAGATCCCAAATTTTAAAAACTTGAAAGGTATTTGGAAATGAGGATCTGGAGTTCAGGAGAGGAGTCAGGGACAGATACGTATGGTGGCCGACCACATAAAAATCAGAACTACAGGAACGGGGGAAACTGTTGGACAGAGTTCAGACAGCAGAGAACTGAGAACAGAATCTTAGAGAACATAACATTTTAGGGAACCAAACAGACTAGATGATGAGATGCAGACGAATGGACAGGATTTCGAAGCTGGAAAGACAGGAGCAGAACCAGGGTGGCACAGGGTGGTCAGAAGCCGGGAAACGGCACCCACGGAGGGTTTGGACGGCAGGGTCAGTGTTGCTCGGAGTTAGGAGAGGTCTTTGAGTTTGGTGAGTGGGAGGTCGTTATTCCCACTGAGGAATGGGAGTAGAAACCAAAGAATAAAAGAATTTCGAAGGAGGTAGTGAGGAAGCAAAGACAGCGGGTGGGAATATCTTTTGACATATTTGCCAATGAAGTGAAGGAAAGAAACAATGGCAATCTGAGGGAGTAGCAAGATCAAAGGACCTGTTTATATACGTAAGCAGGTGGAGAGGGAAGCTGGTGTTAAGAGCAAGAAAGAGGATGAGAGATGGAAACAAAGGACCTCAAAGGAAATAAACAGAGCTAAGAACAGGGAGAAAAGGAAAGGGAATCCACCCCAGAGCCAAGGGGAAAAAAGAGAAAGAAACAACCAGGAGGCTCTGTTCTGGGCCAGGTGCTGTGCCAGATGACAGCACAGTCTCTCTCCACCCTGGAGGTAGGTCATTATCCTCGTTTTACAGATGAGGCACTGAGATTCGGAGGAGCTGCCCTGCTTAAGCGGAGATCTGGGTTTCAACCTTGGTCCTTCCTCAGAGTCCTCACCCTTTCCCTGACACCTCTGTGTCTAGCTCCAGGGAATGACAGAAGAGGGAAGGCCAGGGCCCAGGGGGGGAGGGGCGCTGGATGATTCCCTTATGTCCCTCCTGCCACAGGAAGCTGGGAGCAGAGTGCCCGTTCCTTAAGGAGATGCGAGATCGAGGAGAGAACCTGTATGTGGTGATGGAAGTGGTGGAGACCGTACAGGAGGTCACTCTGGAGAGAGCTGGCAAGGCAGAGGGTGTCTTCTCCCTCCCATTCTTCGCCCCACTGGGGCTACAGGTTTGGTTCACACACACACACACACACACACACACACACACACACACACATTCAGCCTCTCCACAGAGGCTATATTGACTTCGTCCCATCAATGTCCACCCAGGATACTATAAAGGACCTACTCTTTCTCCCTGCTTTTCAAGATCCAGTTCCCTGCTGGCCAGACACAAATCCTGTCTCTGGTCAATGGTGCCCAGTGTGGCAGATCCCTGTGCCACATGCCACAGAGAACCATCTGAGAAGGGGAAACTCATAGCCATAGGTATCCCCTCACGATCTACAGGACACACATCCTTGTTCTCAGAAAGTTCTCAGTCTCATGGAGGAGACACATAGCTTAAAGCCCAGAGAACACAAGCTTGGAAAATTCCATGTGAATAAGTAATGCTCTACATACCTCTGTCTATTTTGTATGCATATGCAAGGGATGAGTTGGAACTAGGAGCAGGGTTAGTCGAGGAAGGTTTCTTGAAGAGGATGAGCAAGGGACCGATGGCGAAGAGGAAGAAGGAAGCAGGGCCTGGATGGAAGCTCTAAGGTGGGACAGGGATGCACAGGCAGGCGACGGAGCAGGTCTGCCCAGTTCCTTCACACAGGAGGAGGCACGGATCATTAGAGGGATGATCAGTGGAAATGAGCAGAAGAGCTTTGAAGCTCACCCGTGGAGTCTGGACGGGGTGGGAAGGCGGTCAGGGACACCGGTGAAGGGTTCCCAATTTCTTGTCTCCACAAAGGCTCTCAGGCCTGGCCCTTCACTTGCACACTACCCACACACATGCTTCTAATGCCTCGTACTTAGAAACTCTGCAGATTCACAAATCCTCACTGTCTAATCCTAGGGATCCATAAACCACAAGGAAGCTGTGACCATCCCCAAGGGCTGCATCCTGGCCTTTCGAGTGAGACAGCTGATGGTCAAAGGCAAAAATGAGTGGGGTGAGCAGACACCAGCATGTTCTCCCCTCAAAACAAGAGTTACCTGCACCGATACTAAGGCATCCTGGTCCCCTCCTGTGGCAATGTCAGGGAATTCGTGAAGGAGTGTGTCCAACTGGAGGGAACAGAACAGCAGGGGCTGCTCTGGAGAGAAAGGGGAGGGATTCCTGGTTCTGAGCTTCTCCTGTGTGCTAGGCACTGTGTTCGCTGCGGGAGGGGGCACAGAGAACAGTCACAGCCTCTGCTTCAAGAACTCTGTGGCCAGTGGAGGAAACAGATGCAGACACCAGTACTCAAATGCAAGAGAGAAAATACTGTTATCCTAGGAAAGGATTTACAGAGGGAAAAAGGATGGCTTTTAGCAATAGAGGAGGAGCCAAAGATGCAGTGAGGCATTTGAGGGCAAGGTCCTAGCCCTTCGCGGAGCCCATAGATTTGACACTGGAGAAAGAACGGTGGGGCAGCTGTTTAAGGGTCCTGCTCTCCCCTCTCTTGCTCCGTACAGAAATTCCACATATCTGCAACGAGGACATGCAAACCTTCCCTCGCGGAGGTGAGTGAGATTGCTTCCTGGCTCCCCACATCTTCTGCCCTCGCCCTGACATTATCGGCTAAAGTCCTGTGCCCTCGAATAGTACAGACATACTATAACACCCCCCACCCACCCCCAGGAGACCCTGGTTTTATTTTCCAAGTCCCTAAAAAATATCTATTCTCAACATTAGGAAAGACAGATAAAGGCATATGAATACCCCCCAAGAAAGGCAGAGAAACAGATGGAAGCAGAAATAAGACCTGGAGACAGTGTGTGTCCCCAAACTGCGGGGACAGATGAGCTAACATAGTCTCCGTGTGTTTTTATAATGATCACTGACACCGCTGCCTTAACAACGGCTCTAGATAGAAAGGCACAGATAGGTCTGACCTGACACATGCATATTGTTTCTGTCTTCAGAAAAGCCAGAAGAGGAGAAGTTCGCCCGTAAGTGTTTCCTGTCATTTCACTGTAACTTTTTTGACTCCGAATTTTAAAACTCCGGTTTTTTTCTTCCCTTCTCCATGGGACCAACAGGGAACATGGCAGAACGGGTCCCAGCAAATAATGGTCCCTGAACCGTGGCAGAAATTCCAATAGCCCTAGGGAAAAGCAATGGAAAAGGATGGTCTCTGGACAAGAGGCCCAGGTGGTCTGCGGCCTCAGACGCCTGCCCTCGAGGGCCTTAGTAGCTGTAACCTATTACACGCACATCTGAACTCCACCGCCCAGCCCCTGGGGCCGGGGCAGCTGAGTCACAGTGTTGACAACTCAATTCCAGGTTCCCTTTTCCCATTGCCTTAGCTTTTCTCCTGACCCATTCCTGCCTCTCACAAATGGGGCAAGTGTATCCTTAAGCTGGCTGGGTGTCCCAACCCCCGTTAATGTCTCATCACCTGAGTATGGCTACTGTTTGGGAGGATTACATTCTTATCATTGCTTTTTTTTTTTCCCCTTCAGTCATCCAGGCAGCTGATGTTGGTAAGGAATTTTGTGCGTTTCTCCCAAGACTTTGGCATGAAAGCAGCGGGAAAAGTATCGACTGGGGTGGGGGGAGGAGGGGACAAGTGTTGAGTCCCACGTCCTGGGGATTGGTGTCACTCCCAGGAAGCCAATCTCTCCAAAGCAGGCTGGACATATTCCTAGGATGCCAGGTCCCTAGAGCAGTGGTTCTCAACCTTCCTAATGCCGCGACCCTTTAATACAGTTCCTCATGTTGTGGGGACCCCCAACCATAAAATTATTTTTGTTGCTACTTCATAACTGTAATTTTGCTATTGTTATGAATCGCCATCGGAAATATGTGTTTTCCGATGGTCTTAGGCGACCCCTGTGAAAGGGTCGTTTGACCCCCAAAGGGGTCGCGACCCACAGGTTGAGAACCGCTGCCCTAGATGGCCAGGCTCAGGTTCAAGCCATTCCTGATCCACCCACATCCCTGGATACAGACCCACAGATCTCTGAAGCAGTCCCATCCTGGCCGTCACTCAGTCGCCAAAGTCTTCTTTGTCAACTAACTCATGAGAAGGGGAAATAGACCTTCCTTCTCAACTTTTAGCCAGACTCTTAGAAAAAGGGAAGTCTCTTGTCTGCTGATCCACGGTGGGGCCTGGGAGCTCAGGGAGAATGAACTGCTGGCTTAGATGGTCATGTGGGTCCTGGCACCCCTCCTCCCCCCCAGCTCCCCCTCACACCCACACACCTCAAGTCAGGGCTGATGGATAACTTCATAGTTGCATTCCTTGGTCAGAAACAAGAAGGGCCAGGTTCACAATGGGAGCAGAGCACAGGGACCTGAGAAGGGCTCCAGGAAGGAGCCTGCAGGGGAATGCTGACTGAATGGGGAGGGTACCAGGTGGAGAGCCGTTTGTTTGCCACGTTGACCGTCCCCATAGGGGAGGCCCATGAGGACTTCGGGACACTGAAAGAAGAGATTCATCGAGAGATCCAAGAAGTGGAGAAGCTGAACCATGTGGGACAAAGGTCTCTGCTCACCTCCCTCAGCAAACTTCTAGGAAAGAAAAAGGAACTACAAGACCTGGAACTCACGGTGAGGTCCAGTGGGAGCCGGGGCGGTGTGGGAGAAGGGAAGGTTTGGGTGCAGGTGTTACTGGTGGGGGATCTGACACTAGCAGAAGGTGGTCAGTGGCCAGGGGACTCGACAGTGGATGCCTTCCCCAAGGTTGGCCAAGTGCCCTCAGGCTGCCAGGCCACCACTGTTCCCTTGTCCCTCTGGAGAAGGGCAAACAGCGCAGATTCCCCCAAGGCACATACTCCTTCCTGACGGACAGGGGGAGGCAGCAGGCCAGCAGGGCCCTCTCTTGAAAGGAGGCTGGAACTTTCCTTTCCGAAAAGCAAGGCTCAGGAACCCAGGAGCCCAGGAGCCCAATAGTTTCAGGACTTGATACCTTGAAAAAGAAATAAGAAAATGGGAGAAAGTTAACAGATGTCAAGGAATTATGTGCCAGACACCGTGCTGGGCCCCTTATTTGTGTTGTCTTAAATAGTTACCTGCCTTTCCCCACAGCTTGAAGGGGCTCTAGACAAAGGACATGAAGTGACACTGGAGGCACTCCCAAAAGACGTCCTAATATCAAAGGAGGTTATGGGCGCCATCCTCTATTTCCTTGGCGCCCTAACAGGTAAGTAAGGAATAAGGCCTTGGTTTATACACCCTTTCGGTGATAGGAATAAATCACTGAATGAATTCCCAAACCTTTGAACGAAGAATGCCAGGCAAATTATAGCACAATTAAGTAGTTTATATCTACATTTTTAAAACTTTGTATCATTCCTAAGGATTCACTTGGTCACTTTGGATAATCTGGGAATATGGCCTAGTGTTGCTAATAGAGGTTGGGATAACCCTAGTTTAATCAGCCTTTTATTTAAAGCTTCTACATATAGCCTAGCCAGTGAGCGTCATCCCGTGCCTCATGATGTTCCCGGTTCGATTCCCGGTCAGGACACATGCTAGGGTTGTGGGCTCGATCCCTAGTAGGGCGTATGCAGGAGGCAGTAGATGGGTGTTTCTATCTCTCCTTCTCCCTCTCTCCTCTCTCTCTCTAAAGTCAATAAAAACATATTTAAAAAATAAAAACAATAAAACTTCTACACAACTAAGTTCATCACTTTTTTTCAATATTTGTTAGCTTTCATTTCACAGGGTAATATTTTCTCATCTTGCACCTGAATTAACTCCTTCACTCTTCATGAAACATTTCCCCACTTAGAAGATCTCTCTGGTCCTTCAGGTGTAAGCTGAGATGTTTGTTCTCTTAAGAAGGCAGCCATCAAATGCCAAGACCAAAGCAGACCCCTCAGCTATACCTCCCTCAACATCATGTACCGTATTTGCGTGTTCCTCTGTTTTCTCCACTAGATTGCAAGTTCCTTGAGTGAAGGGAGTAACTTTTTACCTAACATACCTAGCAAAGGCGCCTGGCCAGAGCAGGCATTAACCATGGATGAATGCTGCAAGTCTGGAAGTGTGTCCATTCAGAATCTGTAGTCCCCTTTGCACCGACAATACACATCTCTTTCTCTGCTTTTTTCTCCAGAGTTAAGTGAAGCCCAACAGAAGCTGCTGATAAAATCCATGGAGAAAAAGATTCTACCTGTGCAACTAAAGCTTGTAAGAAAGAACAACCAATTCCTAGGAAAGTTGGGAAGGAGTCAGCTAGAACCAGTGAAAAGATACAAATGTAGTCTCATGACAGAACCCTCATAGAGGGCCTCTGCTTATCCCAGGAGCTCATGGCCCACTTTTTATTTCTCTCCATGTTTCTTCCTTTTTGATATTTCACAACTAGAGATAAGAGTACATTTCTGGGAGATTACCTGGGTTTTTCAGCCTGATCTTACGACAGGAGACAGAAAATTCTGGTTTTGCTTACTCCTAGCCAAGTGATGTGAGCAAATCTTTTAGTGTCTCTGAGTCTCAATTCACCCCTTTGTAAAATGGGGCTAAACATAAATGTGCTGCCCACTGTACAGGATTATTAAAAGACCCAGATGGGTCCTGGCCAGTGTAGCTCAATTGGTTGGAGCATCGTCCTGTACACCAAAAGGTGACGGGTTCAACAGGGTGCACTGATGGATGTTTCTCTCTCTCCCTTCCTCTCTCTCAAATCAATAAAAAAAAAAAAAAAGGCCCAGCCCTGGCCAGTTTGGCTTAGCGGTTAGAGCGTCGGCCTGTGGTCTGGAGAGACCCAGGTTCAGTTCCCGCTAAGGGCGCGTACCTCAGTTGCAGTTTGTCCCCGGCCCTGGTTGGATCGTGTGGATGGCAACCACTCGATGTGTCCCTTTCACGTCGATGTTTCTCTCTCTCTCTCTCTCTCCCCCTCCCACTCTATCTGAACAAAATATCAAAATATGTCCTCGGGTGAGGATAAAAAATAATAATAATAAAATTAAATAAATAAATAAATAAAAGACCCGATGGAGTTGTAATGTAATGTAATGTAATAAAAGGAGTATAATAAGAGAAAGGTAGGCATGCATCTTTGAGGTTTTTATGAGTTAGGAGAAAGGAAAAGAGGTTTCCAGTTCTTCCTTTTCATGCTATTTTGGTTCCTTCCAGGTGGAGAGTATAATGGAACAGAGTTTCCTACAGGATAAAGAAGGTGTTTTCCCCCTGCAACCTGACCTGCTCTCCTCCCTTGGAGAAGAGGAACTGACCTTCACAGAAGCCCTAGTGGGACTGAGTGGCCTGGAAGTGCAGAGATCGGGCCCCCAGTACATGTGGGACCCAGACACCCTCCCTCACCTCTGTGCCCTTTACGCTGGCCTCTCCTTCCTGCAGCTGCTGACCAAGGCCCCCTAACTTGCCCTTTCCATCTGCTTCCTGCTTCCCTAATGCCTTCCCTACCTCACTGTGCTATGTCCTTAACAACAAAGGGCATTTCAGAGCCGCCAGGCTGAGGGTGATGGAAACCCTAGCTGATCCCCCAAGATAACCAATTTCCACTTGTCCAACTCTGTATCTCCCCCCACCCCTGCAGCTCTGCAAGCCGCTAAGCCCATCTGCTGATGCTTAAGTCCTCTGATAGTAGAAACACTCAAAAATTTACAATTATGAACCATTTCAGCAAAACCAAAATTAATTAATTTCCTATCCCAATCCTTCCCTCTTGTGCTTTTAAAAGTCAAGGCTTACTGTTATGATTTCACTTTGGATAAAATGTCTTTTGATGTTTTCCTTTAAAGAATCTATTGTAGCCCAGGCCAGTTTGGCTCAGCGGTTAGAGTGTCAGCCTGCGGTCCAGGGAGACCCGGGTTCAGTTCCCGCTAAGGGCACATACCTTGGTTGCAGTTTTTCCTCAGCCCTGATTGGGTCGTGTGGGGGGCAACCACTCGATGTGTCCCTTTCACCACGATGTTTCTCTCTCTCTCTCTCCCTCCCACTCTATCTGAATAAAAAATGGGAAAATGTCCTCGGGTGAGGATAAAAAAAAAAAAGAATCTATTGTAAGGAAATTCTCAACTTGTGCCGGAAAATAGACTTTATCATACTCCATACAGATTGTATGAAACTATTATATGAATATGAATACTATTATACTGTCCTCAGGCCAGCTGGAAAATACTCAGAGAAGAACTATGAGGGTATATAAATTGTGGAATCTAGATTCTAAAGTGAGAAAATCATCAAAGCATCTTGCTTCAAAGAGGAGCCTTTGGTGTCCTCTGGACTTGGGTTGAGGGACTGGAAAAGAGATACATTGTACAAGAGTAAGACAACTTTCAAGTTTATTGAATAAAAATGCAGACAGACCCTGGCTGGGTAGTTCAGCTGGTTAGAGCATCATCTGGATAGGCCAAGGTTGCAGGTTTGATCCCCAGTGAGGGCATATACAAGAATCAACCAATGACCCTGGCTGGTTTGGCTCAGCAGTTAGAGCATTGACCTGCGGACCAGAGAGATCTGGGTTCGGTTCCCGCTAAGGGCACGTACCTTGGTTGCAGTTTGTCCCCGGCCCCCCGTTGGGGTTGTGTGGGTGGCAGCCACTTGATGTGTCTCTCTCACATCAAGGTTTCTCTCTCTCTCTTCCTCCCCATCTCCCTCCAGCTCTATCTGAAGATGAATCCAAAAATGTCCTCTGGTGAGGATTAAAAAAAGAATCAACCAATGAATGCATGAATAAGTGGAACAACAAAATCAATGTTTTTCTCTCTCTCCCTCTCCCTCCCTTTCTTTCTCTCTAAAAATAAATAAACAAATAAATAAATAATTTTAAAATGCTGATAGGTCTTTATTTTTATTTATTTATTTATTTTTTTAATCCTCACCCGAGGACATTTTTCCATTTTTTGTTCAGGTAGAGTGGGAGGGAGAGAGAGGAACAGAGAGAGAGAGAGAAACATCGACGTGAAAGGAACACATCGAGTGGCTGCCACCCGCACAACCGACCAGGGCCGGGGACAAACTGCAACCGAGGTACGCGCCCTTAGCGGGAACCGAACCCGGGTCTCTCAGGACCACAGGTCAACGCTCTAACCGCTGAACCAAACCGGCCAGGGCAAAATGCTGATAGGTCTTTAAATAGAGTCCAGCCAAGGGCACGTACCTCGGTTTCAGTTCAGTCCCGGGTCCTGATCGGGATCTTGCAGGAGGCAATGAGTCTATCTCACATCGATGTTTCTCTCTCTTTCTTTCTCAACCTACCCTCTCCCTCCCGCGCTATCTGAAGATGGAGAAATATCCTCTGGTGAGGATTAAAAAAAAAAAAAAAAAAAAAAGATACCCAAGAATAAGACTGACTCAACACTTAAATTGTGCTATTATTTTCTGTTTCACCTTTTCCTCTTCTGCTCTCAGTTCAGGGTGGTTGTGGGAGGAAGTGACATGAGTAGGCTTGACATATGGACCTGCTAATATGGATATTGCAATCTCATAAACTGCTAGATTTAAACCATCCTCCTTTGCCTAAAGCTTGGTTTTAATATCTTTCACCAATCTTTTTAAAAATAGTTTTATGAATGTCTCCAAGGTTTTTGGCCCCAGGAGTCAAGATTCTTCTCCTTCTTAGCCACCCCACCTTGGTTAGTTCCTTCACTCACCAAGAATTCATGACCAACTGCCAAAGACTGTATTAAGCCATCCTCCCCCATTCTGGGGCATCTTCTAAGGCCTCACTATATTGCTTAAGGACATACTGAGTAATTATCTGCTGACTTGATTGTTTTTCTCTTGTGATGTAAAAGTAATAAAGAGGTGAGCTAACATCCTAACTATCCAGAAGGGTGACTTCATAAACATGAACCACAAAGCTCATCTGTTTTCTTCCTTTACCATTCTCGCCCACTTCAGTTACAGATATGGTATTATGAAGAGGATTTAGTGAGCTGATTCCAGTGATAATTCATAAGTTCTGTTAGCCATTCCCTAAGGGGGGGGGGATAGTTCGGGGAAAAAAACTGGTTAAGGCATGTTCCCTAAAACTGGAGCACACATTTTTCCATTTAGCAAGTGGCTGTTTAGTGCAAGGAGCTACTTGATGCAATAGTAGGAAACGGACAATACAAGCCCTTGCCAGGTAGCTCAGTTGGCCAAGCATCATCTGGATACACCAAGGTTGCAGGTTCAATCCTGGGTCAGGGCTCATACAAGAATCAACCAGTGAATGTACAAATAAATGGAACAACAAATCCCTTCTTCTCTCTCTAAAATCAATAAATAAATAAATTTAAAAAATTTAAAGGGTGATACAAATTTTTTTTTCTATATACATAAATATAAAGGAGACTATAGTGAAAGCATATTCACTGCCCTCTAGGACCTTACAACCGAGCCAGATCGTCTTGTGGGGTCTGACCTGGTCTAAAACTCAGGACTTCGATTTATGGAAGAGATGAAAGTTCCAAGAGGGGTAGGAGCTTTTGTTTTATATTAAGAAACTGGAACATGTATCCTCCTCCTGCAGAATCACTGGAAGATTCCTTTGTAAAATAAGTGGACAGGATTTCCGGTCCAATTTCCTTCCCCTGGGCGATTCTCAGGCTCCCCTTAGGTACACTCTTCTTCTGGTTCCTATTTCACTCGTGTCTGTCTGGACGCATGCAGGCGCCCCAAAGGCCTCCTTGAAGCCTCTGCCAGTAGGGGCTTCCACTCTCTTTCCTACCACCTCGCAAGACCCCGCAGCCCCGAGCACAGCTTCCAGCGGACTGCATTCTGCAGCTGTCCTTTACCACGGCGCCCCCATGCGCTAGCCCGAGGCCACAGAGTGGACTCTAAACTGTACTAAACTGGAGTGACTGTGCACAGCTGCACTCTACACCCATCCGCACTCCAGGCTGCAGAGATCTGGCTAAAATCTGACAAGGAAGGCCGACGCCCATAGTTGGGTTTTATTTTAAGCCCTTCAACTAAATCCACATCCTTTTCGCAACTTCGTCCGCAGCTTCTTTTCATCCCTCGCGCGGGATGCACTGGGCAGCCGTTGAGGGTGAGCCTCGCGGACCTCGAAGGCGACTCAGCGGAGCAAACAGCGAGTTTGGGCAGAAACTCGCCGGGCAACTCGTGATGTCATCACGCCCTGCGCTCCCGTAGGCCCGACGCACTCCACGCTGGTTGGGGAGCTCTTGGTCCCATAAAACCCAGACTGGAGCCTGTGGGGACCTCTCATGGACATGCACAGAAATGCACTCGGGAGGAACATAAAAGAAAATCAACACACTTAAGTACTCCAAAGAAACCCCACAAACCATACAGGCTCCGCCCCTCTCCCTCGGAGATCCTCCCCCATCCTGCACCTCGGCAGTTGACTTCTTTCTCCTTTGTTGACTCGGCCATCGGCCCACTGAGCCTGGCGTTTCCCAGCAGGCCCAGCGCTGGGAAGGGGTTTGCTGCTGCTCCGTCATCGTGCGGCCCGACGCGATCCCGCGCTCGTGTGCAGGCCCGGCTCGGCTCCTGCTCTCTGCCGTGAGAGTTCACGCGAGGCTCCGGCCTCAGTCCCCGGACTAGGCCGCGACCCCGGGTGCCATGAAGCAGGATGGCTCGGCGCGGCGCCGCGGCGCGGACAAGGCGAAGCCGCCGCCGGGCGGAGGGGAGCAGGAACCGCCGCCACCCCCGGCCCCCCAGGACGTGGAGATGAAAGAGGAGGCAGCAGCGGGTGGCGGGTCATCGGGGGAGGCTGACGGCAAGACGGCGACGGCGGCTGAGCACTCCCAGAGAGAGCTGGACACCGTCACCTTGGAGGGTACGAGAGCCCGGGCCGGGGACGTGCCATGATCACGGGTGACAGCGCCCCGGTGATCTAGCTTCTCTTTGGGACCCCAGCGCAGCCTCCGCCATCCCCGGTCCCTGAGGGTCGCTTCCCCCCAAGTGCCCGCCCCCACTACCCTGACACTCCCAACCCCAGCCCCAGCCCCAGTTACTCCAGGTTCAGGACTCCTCCCTTGCCCACACCTCCTCCCCCACCCGGGATTGCATCTAGAACTAAGTCTCATTGGGCCTGTGGACTCCCTCTCCTTAGTCCTCCCCTTTGACCGACTTCCCATTTACGTCCCACCAGACTGATTCTGTCGCGCGGTATACCATTGATCCCTCTAGAAACCATTGTTTGTATTTATGTGTGAAGGGGGTCAGGGCCAGGAAGACCAGAATACTGGCCCCTAAGTTTTAAGTGTGTACAAAGGATTTTATTGTTTTAGCTACCTTTAGCAAACTCCCCTAAAAGAGTCCTGTCTACCTAGTATATTTCTTCCTTGTTTCTGTAATAACGATGCCCAAGAGATTCCATCATTTTTCCCCTTTCACTTGAAGTCCTTACTCTTACTCTTGTTTCTAAAGGGTTTGAACACACTACACGCCTTCAACTTTTTAGGTGTCATCTGTGTTTGAGTTCCTAACAGTAACCGATCTAACTACATACCAACCCCCCCCCCCCATTTCTTTTCTCCTAGATGCCTGTTCCCAGTTTCCCACCGCCCTCTTGTTCCTCCAAGTTCACATTTCACTTTTCCTACTTAGAGCATCCTGTCTGTGTTTGGAGTGGGTAGAGTGAGCGCTTCCCACTCTGAGCCTGTTGCTATTTTC